AGAACTTACATAAGATCTTATGTAATTTCTTATGTAAGTTCTTATTTAAGTTCTTATAAGAGTTCGTGTATCAGTCGTTTAAACGTATTTAATTACTATCTACATACATACACGGTGAATTTTAAAATGTTTCCTGCATAAAAGCTGTTAAAATAGCTAATATAAATTATTAAATAGAAAAAAAGCAATTCTTACCTCCACTAAGGGGATTTGAACCTAGTCCAGAGAATCAAGTGTCTTACCCACTGGGCCAGAGTGGATTCGATACATGGGAAAGAACTGACGTCCTCATAAGGTACTTCTAAAACTGTTTATTTTTTTATTTATGGATAACATTTACCACCTTGGTTACCTCATTGGTTAATAAACATTTTATAAATGTACATATAACATTGTTTTGAGTCTGATAATGCGTTTCTCGACAATAAATCTAGTAACTGATTTCACAACTACTCTTCGTTCACAAATTTTATTTGAACTTTACTTATACTTTTTATTCTAAGGGAAAAATAATCTATTTTTAAAAGTGTAATACATTTATTGTAATTGTTACAACAACAAAGTTGAGGATCAACTTCTTCTCTTCAATACTTTAAAGTTGGTATAGAAAACCAGCAGCAAAAATAGTTTCTCACTTATTTAAACTTTACTCAAAAAATTATACAAATTCTTAAAATATAAGTTACTACATGAAATAAAGTTAAAAAAAAAGTATTTAATTCAAATAAGAAGTGGAAAAACACGTTCCTAAACTAGTATCAGAGATTATAAAAAGCAATAACTTGAGGACTTAATAACGTCGATGTTAGTATCAGGTGTACCTTATGAGGACGTCAAATCTTTCTCATGTATCGAATCCACCCTGGCCAAGTGGATAAGACACTTAACTAGGGATTCTCCGGACCAGGTTCAAATCTCCTTAGTGGAGGTAAAAGATGCTTTTTTTGTATTTACTAATTTATATTAGCTATTCTAACAGCTTTTATGCAGAAAAAATTTTAAAATTCACCATGATATGTATCTAGGTAGTAATTGAATACATTTAAACGACTGATACACGAAGTCTTATAAGAACTTACATAAGAAATTACATAAGATCTTATGTAAGTTCTTGGTTGATAAGCAAATGTAAGTTCGTGTACAAGTTCTGACACAAGTTCTTTTAAAAGAACTTTTATATGAGAACTTACGTAACATAAGAACTAACATAAGAAATTACATAAGAAATTACATAACAAATTACGCAAGAACTTATGTGAGACCTTATGACAAATTTTCAGCTGGGGAGGATTGGCTCGAACGACGTCCGATTGTGGACTGCGGAGCGTTGTATACACGGGCATGGCTTGGGGCGTGCCGGCTTTACTAGAGTTTTATTGATACCAGAAATTGCCTGCTATGTGCCCTTGTCTTTCACAAATTTGTGTTTTTTTCTGGAGTTACGTTAATTCTAGCATCGTGACTTTGTCTATTAGTCATGATTTTTAGTGTTTCTTGTAAATGTTCGGGTTCATAACACGCGAAGTCTCTTTCGGTTTCTATAGCTTGAGTTGTGGCACTTTCGAAGTTGTTCCCGTGGCCCATTCGTGCTTTTAATACCCTGTGTAGCCCTCTGATGAAATATTTAACTTTGTTCTGCTCTAGTTTTGTATAGAATTCCTGATGTATTGTATTGTATTTATTTATTTTCCATGTATAGATTAACATCTTTTTACATATCTCTTCCCCTCACACGACATGCCGTGCGCTTACAATTTTCGCTCTTAAACCTAGTATTATTTTATCTTCCTCATGTACATCAATTTCCCTTTTTTACAAACACCTTAACCTCTCGCTTCCCCAAATTCTCATTATTCGTTAAAATTATTCCTCACCCCTAACGCGTCCTCTCCTTTATTCAAAATAATTATTCAAAATAATTACCTCCCCCCCATTTATCTTCAGCGCTTGATCTGGCCACTTTCTCGAATTCTCTAACGTACTTGCAAATTACCTCCACCGGATCCCCTTTCAATAGTCTGACCAATCTTTGTCTAATTGCCTCCTCTGAAACTTTTAATCCTACTTCCTCTGCTGCTCCAGGCCACCCCACATTAATTTTTTTCCTCGCTATCTGACAATAAAAGATATGCTGAATACTTTCCTCCCTTCTCTTGCATATCCTGCATGCGCTATCTAAAAATCCCTTCTTGCCTGCTTTACCTACACTCCCGCATCTGAGCCTCGTCCATTGTTCTTTAACGTTATCCCCCTCACCTTCTTTTCCCAATAATCTTCCGTTCCTAATTTTTGTTTCATATGTTTATAATAATCACAGTACTCCGACCTCTTAATCGTTCCCCAATCTAAAAAAATTAATTTACATTAAATACCCTAATACGCTGTGTAATAAATTATCTAAAATAAAATGTATGAATAGTAACGAGTAAACAAAGTTTTTGATATTTTTGATGATTTCTTAAGTTATTTGCTCTATCTTTATCACAAAGGAGCTTAAAATTGTAATTTTGTATGATACTTTCGAAAGTTGCTTCATATATGTCTTATGTCTATAATTTTTAATGTGCAACAAATACTTTTCTGTATTTTGCAGTTAATCATATAAATCGCAAAGGTAATAATCTAAACGACGAAATTTAGTTTTATATATNGGTCAACTTTTTTTTCAAACGCGAAAAAAGTGATTTTCGGACTTTCACGAATTTTTTAGGTTTACTCAGCCACTGAATAACCGAAAAAACAAAACGCTATGTTTCTTGAATCATTTCCTTCTATATCAACGTATTTTTTGTTTTCTGTTAACACTAATGTCAAATTTAACATTGAGCCTTCGTAGATTAATTGGCCTAGTTACAACTTTTTCCTTTCTATCCAGTGGTGTAAGTTGCGGCTGGTTAATAAAAAAAATCAAATGGCACTACTATAATTACCACATAACTTTTCACCAGAATGATATATGACAAAAATATTTTGGATCACTACGAATCATGACATAATGAGAGTGCTCAATTCTGGTGACAATGGCGGCTGGTTACAATTTTGACCACTCTTTGGCCTCAGCTCTTGGTCTAAAAGACATTAGTGTATCTCTATGTGGAAAGACCGACCAATTGAACAAGAAAAAAACGTTTCTGATATAAGTAAAGCGACTGGAAGGGACATTTATTTTCGAACACCAATCATAGAACTTATTGATAATGACGTATCAAATATGGAGACAAGATATAGGTTATGAGAATGGTAATAATAATATTTAGATCTCAAGTTTTGGAATAGTTCATAGTATATACTGTAATTTAAGAACAATTTGTGTATATTAAGTGCATAAAGTAGTCAATATTTTATGTACTATTATTGTGTATGCATATTATCTAGATTCAGGCAACGTTATATCTACAGGATGTTCTAAATTAGATTGTTTTCTGGGAGGTGGATTACCCGTAAAAGGTATAACACAAATTTATGGAGAATCTGGTGTTGGAAAAACTCAATTAGCTCTGCAGCTGTGCTTAAAAAACGTACAGGAAAAAAAAAGTGGTAACAGTATTTTTAAATATTTTTTTCTGAGTTTGATGGAATACAAACATATTTTGGCTGTAGTTGTATAATTGTAAATAAAGTTTTTTTGCTACTGTTGTAACCATAGGTGTAGCTTATATCTCAACTGATGCAATATTTCCCAGTAAACGCTTACAAGAGTTAAGAAGAAAGATATTTATTCGAAACCATTCCAATGTTAATTATGATCGGATATTTATTGAGCATATTTCAAGCAAGGTTGGTATGCAACTCGAAATGAAGTCACTGATAATTTAAGAAAATTACAATTAATTGGATTAATTTTTTTCAGAAAGATTTTGAAGATTGTATCTTTAGTTCTAAGAGACTGCAGTATCTATTATCTAAATATAATATCCAATTATTAATAATCGATTCTATAGCAGGAACTTATAGGTTTGAATATGAAACTCGTAACATTATTGATAGAGCTAAGAGCTTGAGAAAAATGGGATATCAGCTACAAAAGCTAGCGAGTTTACATAGTTTAGCAGTGGTTTGCATTAATCAGGTAAACAATAGCAATATTTTTCAATGACCTAAATATGTATAAAACATGTTTGCAAATCTAGGTTACAGCCGTTCCACAAAATTTGTGTGGAAAACAATCTTTCGCAAGAGTACAACCATCCTTAGGAATTACTTGGGCTAGTATTGTTACTAACTCTTTTTATATGTATAAACAAAATAGTCACCGTTATTTTTACGTAGCAGGATCACCTTATTTACCGAATAAAACAATAGAATATAAAATTTTGGATTCTGGAGTTGTAATGTTGACAAGTTAAATGATGCTTTTTTTTCAAATTGTTTTTTACCATGTCATGTTGTTTTGAATCACTTTGATTAATTTTTGTTGAAACTCATAGTTAATGAACGAATATTGGTTATTTGTATGTTTTCTAGTAATTTTCGAAATATAGTGATTTCACTTATCACCAAATAAAACATTCATATAAATAAAATATATACTAGCTGCTTGTATTTTAATAAATTTGAATTGTGTTTTTTCTTCTTGTACATTATTTAAAAAGCCTCAACATGATGTGAGTAGATGTAGCTCAGTCAACGAGGCTCTTTTCCCTTCAATAATGAACTTTTTCGTCACGACGCATCTCAGTCAAAAATTAATAGCTATAATTACACCTATAAATAATAGCTATAATTTACCTATAAAACAGCTATAAATATGGCTGTAAATTTTGCTCAAATTTATTTACTTAAAAATTGGCTTAAAATCTGATTTTACAAAGGTCAATCATTAAACTCACGCTACCATCCGTATAACAACATCAAAGCTGGGGCCTGAAGTATTTTTAAACAATTTTTAAAAAACTCCAAATATTGTTTAAGTTTTTTATTTTTTTTTTTTACTCATTCAAAAATTCTTTAGGCCCCCAGTTTTTATGTTATACGAATGATAGTGTGAATATTCTGGTTAATCTTTGAAAAATCCGATTTTAAATCAATTTTTATGCAAATAAATTTAAGCAA